CAGTAAGTTCGCCGACCCTCTCTGTGAGGGGCATTAGCCATGTCATTACAGGTCCACAGACGTTGGTGGCTGGAGAAGTAGGAGGAAGGCGATGTTTCAGCTCGGTCGCAGCTTGGACGTGACTTTCAAAGCGAAGACCTGAGGCAAGAATGTTGGTCCATCGGCTCTTGAGAGAGAGAAGATGAGCGCGCCGGCTCTCCAAAAGGACCGAAATGGTTTGGTCTGATACAAATAGAAACTCAATTGGCGCGTTGAAGATCGAACAGAATGACTCACTACAGGGTGAAAGAACAGCTGCCTCCAGGGCCAAGAGCTCCCGGCCGAACCAGCGACACAAGTTGTCGGCTTCCTGACCTAATCTACGACGTTCCTCCAAGCAATGATCCACCTTCAACATTGCTCTTATCCCAACTCGGACCTCGACTTCCTCAAGCCATCGAGGAAGCTCCTGTGGACTGCGCGTAATCCACACATCCTCTAAGAGTGAGGAGCTATTGCGCAAAGCATCGAGTTTATCAGGGAGGGCTTCAGGGAGTGGGAGTCCCCACTCGGGGCGGTAGATTGCTGCTAACTGTTCGCAATACGCATTGAACTTTCGAATGGCCTTGAGAAGGGCCGGCTTCCATTTGGCAATCGCGTCTCGAGTGCTCTGGTGAATCTTGGTTCCTATCATATGAAGTAAGCGGTCATAAGCAGAACAAATACAGGCTAAGCAAACCTATGGCTTGGTTACGACCACCAGCCGCTTGATCTAGTCTATCCCACTCAAAGAAACTTCCAATGGCTCGCTTGCGTATATTGATTTTGAGGTCGCGGGCCAGCACCAAAAGCCTAACAAAGTCGAGGTCGATGTTGTGGAGTTCTGGGTATGATTCTTCAATGTTCAGTGATGCGTATAGTTGTTGCACCTTATCCTTGAGCTGTTCTTGGGTTCTTAATAAACTTTCTAATGTCGACTTGGAGAATCGGTCGGCAAGGCGGGTGATCGCGTCATCGGTCGTGTCGATGGTTGACTGAAGCTTGAGAACACTGTCGAGTTCCTTTTTGAGACGCGCTGGGGCATCTGAACATTGAGAGTCAGAGAAGAAGGGAAGTGAAAGGTTGGGAAAGCTTACGAGCCCGAATCGAGAGTTGTGCTGCTTGCTGAAGCACCCACTGATCTCGCAATTCGTCCATTGGCACGCCACACTCACTCAACTTCTTCCTAGCTTCAAGGAGCTCAGCTTCAGTCGTTTTGAGCCGACGCCGAATCCAATCACCAAGGTCATCACGGAGGTCTTCACCGATTGACGCAGTCTGGCGGTCGAGCAGCCATATCCTTCGGCGTCGCTGTATACATTGTTAATAGGGGCAAGACGATACTTGAGATTGTGGACGACAAACTGCAGATACCCGTGTAACACCAATCATTTTCCGTAATCGAGACCAGAAGCGCTCTACGCCTTCACCATCGGAAAGGCCAGGTCCTTCACGGATGCGTGGGTTATATACGAGCTGGCAAGACCATTGGTGCACATAGGCGTGCATAGCGCTGGTACCAAAATCTAACCGATCAGTGATAGTCGCCGGGAGAATGTCGTACTGATGAAAATGAGAAAAAAAGTGTGTCATGAGGCGCTTTTACTCACCAAATTGAGGCTGCGATCAAGAACGCAACCCACATCATACAGAACGGTGACGGTGGCAGTTGAAGGGAGGAGGGAAAACAGATGCTCGATGAGGGAAACGGCGTACTTTTGTTGCTCGCCAGGGGTATCAATGTTAGCGAGAAAAAGGGGAACGTCATGACGACAGACAAGAGCCATCACGCCCCCATCATCGTAGTGATCCATGTTGGTTTTCATGGTGGATCCGCTTCCAGAATTGTGTCCCTCTTCGCAGTCATTCACCGCCTCATCAGGAACCTTCGCCGGCTTGCGAGCTTTGGGTGGTTTGCCCCGTGCTGTGGTGATACGTCTCCCAACACCGTCAACGTACTCCTTGGTGAGGAAGTACTCGGGACTGTAAAACTCGGGGCAGTCGCCTGCATCTTTCCTATGCCGTTGGCTAAAATTCCCATCGGTGGCGACTATGATATCTGCCCCTCTGAGATTCTCTTTTCAGCACGAATTGGATACAAAAGGCAGTCCACGTACGTGCGTCCAGATCGTCCAAACTTATCCAAGGTGAAGCAAGCAGGGCATCGTCGTTGGAGAGTCCTGTGACATTCCCTGAGGGGTGGAGCGGGAAGTGGCTCGCTTTCAAGGCTGAGAGATATGAGGGCCTCAGGATTGGATTGACCTGGCGTCGACAGGGGAGTATCAATGATGGTTTGCCCTGCGCGTGACGTGGGTGCCTCAGGATTGATTGCGAACGTGAGAGGGACTGGCTGTTTGCAGCCACGGGCAGTGGCATCGCCCGCCACGATGGCCCCTTCGAGTTGATGTTCAATGCGGACTTGCAAACTGTCGTACCATTGAACAGCGTGTCCGAACCCTCTACGGAAGGCGTCTTGAACAACTTCCCCCTGGTTTAGATCAATAGAACAATAGCTATAATGCAATGGTTGGAGACATACCTTAGAGTTGCAATGAATAAAGCCTCGTCGTCCGTAAAAGGTGTTCAGAGCATGGGCAAAGGCGTTGATCGCATCACAGGAGCGCTCAAAAAGAGCGTGATAAAGTTGTATGAGTGGGATGGAAACTGCCATGCGTGGCTGGGATGGTGACGTTGGGAAAAGGCCATGATTAACAAGGACTTCTACGAGGTCCTCACATTCACAGGCGACAATTTCAAATGTGTCGAAGTCTACAAGGATGAGGTGTAAGATCTCGTGGTTGATGAGAACAGTCAATACGTACGGTCAAAGAACAAACATAGAACCTTTCGGGTCTTCGTAGCACACAGGTCTGGGTGAAGGCAGGATGCGCGAATGTCGCCAGGAGGGGAGTATTTGATCCCTTTTGTTGTGGACAAAAATCGGACAAGCGGAGCGATAAGGCGGGGTGTGAGGGCCTTCCACTGTTCATAGAGAAGATTAGCTGCGGCATCAGGACCAGTGCGACGGATTTTGGCGGAAATGGGGGTCCTTGGTGGGGAGGGGGGCGGTTGAGGGATGTTTGTGGGTTCCTCCACGTCCATCCAGCCATCTGGCAGTGGCGAGGAACCTTGGGCTTCTTCAATCTCAGCGAGAGCATCCCCCTCGCCTCCCCCCTCACCCTCTTCCCAAACCATATGCTCTTCTGGAAGTACTGCCTGAAGCTGAGCCAATTTCGCTTTAAGGCGACGAATCTTATCCTCTTGGCCGAGATACGTGACATAGGTCGAAGCTTTCCGGCTATCCCGCCTCTTGCTGGGACTGCGGAAAGCTTGCCCAAATCCCTTCGTGGCGCGCTGTTGGGCGCGTGCTTTGCTGAGCAACATCGAGATGAAACAACGAGGAGACAAGAAAAAAAGTGTATTGCTGGCACGTGGTACATGTTAGGTGTAAGCGTAAAGAATGGCGAAGTCCTACAGGATAGAGCGCAAGCGCGCAATGTGCTCTCTGGTGCGAGGCGCGACACGCTTGAGCACATCTGATACGGATCTTGATCTGATGAGGGATATAAATAGCTGACACTGCCATCAGTGTTCAGGAAGACCCCCCTCTCAGGCCAATTACCCCCAGACAAAGATTCGGCCTTCAAGGGCCCAGAAGCACGTAGAGGTGCTAGGCCTAAGGTGATCATTGGACCACATCGGATGAACCTTCAATGCATCAAGAGTTGTATTATTGAGACAGATACTAGACACTCTCACCATGCATAACGCCGGTTCCCAAGTTTTTCTACGCAGTGAAATTTATACCGCTCAGCACTCAGTAACCTCAGTATGAGGTTCGCAGGGGGCGAATATGAGATGTGGATTATGGGGAAGTCAGTGCCGAGAACGCGGGAGAGATGCCTGAGAAATGATGAGGGACCAGATGGGCATAGGTGTCCTGAGAGACGTCACTGCATATTGGATTTGGGGTGTAGGAACGCGGAGACTACCTTGACTTTCTCCAGTTGTCTCCAGCAGCGTGGGGACGTGGCGACCATTTTTTCAAGTAAACTATCTGAATGTATTTAAGGCAAATCGATCAATCGATAAGTGCAGGCTCAGCAAGAGTTGGACACCTGTGCATTCAGGGGTCGAGGTGACAGAGGGTCCATATGACCCGAGGAGAACCTAAAATGAATGGCGCCCAACACATTTGCCCAAAACAGAGTCCATTACCAATGATAAGCAGTGATAAGCGCTAGACGGAGGGAATAACTTACGTTGAGCATAACATGTGTCAGATCTTGGTCAGATCAGGGATGAGCGCTGAGCGCTGAGTACTGAGTCCCGGCTGGAAGCCTCATGGCCAACTCATGGCACAAGCAAAGTAAGATGAAACTTGGTCGTCTATCCACAGAAGCCTGAGGCTCCTTGAAAATGGCACGGCTGATACACGGCGCTTTCATCCTACTGTAGTAGGTCTACCTAGATTCCTATCTTGGTCGGGTCAATGATACGCCCATACTATAGGCGCCTGACAAACCTTTTCTGTGTCATTCAAAACTTGGAAGATGTTGAAAAGTAAACTGTTCGATCATATTTTCCGTGACGTCACTCCGTGCTCAAAGAGTTCACATAAGAAGCGCTCGTTCATGATCGAGGGGTGTCCATAAACACGGGGAAGTTGCCGGGGTCCGATTTGCGTGCAAACAGCATGGAGGCAGGCGACGCGTTCATAAATACGAAACGGGCTTTGAAAGCTCTTTGGGCTCAAGTTGTACTGTGTCAAGATTCCTGGTCTCACTCTGCTTTCTGCGCCATCTCCCCAGCAATCTAACACATCCGAACAGTTTCCATGGCCAGTGTAGAGTTCGTGTGATCGTATTTTCGATTCCTCAGGCCTCGATCTTGATATATATTTTCACCACCGCAGGACAACAGCGGCTCGCAATGTCATCATCTTTGGGGAGACCGGGGTGGGGAAAAGCTCCATCGTTAACATGCTTCCCGGTGGAGATGAGGCTGCAGTCAACGGCGATGCCAAGGGAGTGACTTTTCGACATGAACGCTACGTGAAGGATATCGGGGGCTGCCTCCTTAACATTTTCGATACAGTCGGACTCAATGAGGGAGCTGCAGGAACGGTGTCCGCTCCTAAAGCAATCGAAGGACTTTATCGGCTGATGCGTGGGCTAGACAATGGAGTCAGCCTTCTCGTATACGTTGTGCGAGGCCCGCGTCTCAAGAACTCCGCCCGAAAGAACTACGAGATGTTCTACGAGATTTTTTGCGAGAAGAAGGTCCCAATTGTCCTCGTTATTACTGGTTTAGAGAATGAGGATGATATGGACGGGTGGTGGAAGAGAAACGAGGCGGCATTTTGTGAAGAGGGGATGAGGTTTTCCGGTACCGCTTGCATCACTGCGACTAAGGGCAAGCGCGACTCGTTCGAGGAAGAATTCGAGGACTCGAGGGTAAAGGTCGAGAAGTTGATTTTGAATCATTGTACTGAGATGCCCTGGCTACCACCCGCGGGCAAGGGGGCATCTTGGTTTGGCAGGTTTGTGGTGAAAAATCGCAACGTGCTTGCCAAAATCTTCCACCTCAAAGTTCAAGTTTTCGCAACATCAATTTATCAAGCATTGAGGTCATGCGGGATTGACGATGCGCAGGCCAGGGAACTGGCTAACAAAATCTACCTCGGCTGGGTATTCTCCCGTGACACCACTACCTAACGACGTTTCAATGACCTCCTTTCCCTTCCTTGCTACGTATTCACACCACATTCTACCGTTTAACAGGCTTCATGTATTCTGTATTATACTTGTATTGTGCACACACTCGTCATGCTCCACTCAGCCTTTACTTCGTAGTCATTAGCTAGTAAATTGTACGCCGCGTAATGTCGTCACGTCGCATTGCGTCGTCAGTCATCCGTTGGCGCTTGTCGTTCGTGGGTGGGTGCGATGAACATGGGTGAAAGACACATACTGCGGTGAACGGCGCCAGGACCTGACTTGTCGTATTCCTGTTTGGAGCATCATATGCTCTGGAACGTGCTATGAGAGGCTAGAATCGACCCTCCAATCCAGACGGATATCTTGCGTTCGGGGGGTCGTCGTTGTCATTGTCCGTGGTGGGGGTCGTCGTTATCCGTAGGTGCTCGTTATTCGTGGGAGGTCGTCGGTGGTGCGGGTCGTCGTTGTCCCTAGGTGGAGTGGGCGCTCGTCGTCGTCCGTTGAAGGGGGCCGACGGCGATGGGGTGGGGTACTTACCTTTTTGGGCTGTTGATCGAAAGGGCCTAGCGCCGTCGACTCTCGTTTAGTGTCCTGTGTGCACCGTGGTTCGTGGTCTGCAAACGAGGTGTTAGCGAAGGGGGGCGGCGGTAACGGGGTCATGGGGCACTCACCGTTGGGGTGTTTCCGAGTTTCCGATTCCCAGCGCTCATAGCATGTACGCGACATGGGCGCTGTCACTCGTTTGATGTCCTGGGCGCACCGTGGTACCTGGGATGGATGCGGCATGTCAGCGAACGGGGCAATGACGACTGGGTCATGGGCACACTCACCAGTTAGATGACTATAAGATTAAACAACCAGCAGCGGCGGACCTGGGTGCTACAAGTCACACAATGCGGCAGCCTGGAATGGCAGGCACCGATATGCCAACTCTAACACCTCGTCCATTTGGCTCCGAAGAACCCAGAAGAGAGGCGATGTGCGAAAGGTACCTTCTGGATATGGAGGGTGGAAAACAAACAGTACATAAACAAAACAAAGAGCTTCACCGGACTTTGCCGTTGGTCCTTGTTGGAAGTGACATCAACACGTGCGCAGTACGTATAAGTATTCCCAGTCATGCCTTGAAGTAATCCTCCGTTCTCTTCCTTAACGAGCTGGTCTTCATTTTCCAATGGTGAATATCTCTCTCCTTATCAGGGTTATTCCTTTACTCAATGTTGATTATTCGTCAAGGACACATCCACCTCTATTACCCGGCCAGCACGCAACGTAATACTGGTTGGTGAAGCTGGCAGTGGGAAAACGTCGATCATCAACATGATTGCTGGCAGTACCGTTGCACCGATCTCAGAAGTCAGTGGAACACGCTCTTGCGCGGCCTATCCAATGGAAATCGGCGGATTGGACTACGACATCTACGACACCCCTGGCGTTGCAGGACTTCGCCCTGATCCTGTCACCAAGCTCGTTGATAGCTTGCGGGACGGTGTGAGTTTACTGGTCTTTTGCCTACGGGGAAGAATCACGGAAGACGCCGTTGCTATCTATCAGCATGTTTCGCAGAGGCTAAAGGGGGTTCCGGTGGTTATCGTAATTACAGGCCTTGAGCACGAGGATCCCATGGAGTCCTGGTGGACGAAAAACGAGGCGATCTTTGATGGGTATCGCATGTCATTCAATGGCCATGCTTGCGTGACGACAGTGCGAGGCAAAGGGTCCATATTTGCTAGCCAGTACGAAGAGTCGGCGGTCGCTGTGAGAGACCTGATAACCAAACACTGCTTGAAAGACGGACAGAGAGCGGTAAGTTCTTACATTGTTCTTGCTTTCCTCATGTCAACATTGTCCCAAGGAGTCGCAGAGGTACCAGGAAACCGCTGCTATCGCAACTCATCCCATCCACCGTTGGCTCCACCGTTGGCACTACCATTGGCTCTACCGTTGGCGTTACATCGTTCTCCTCGCCGCTGTCTGTATTTTTATTATCGTTGTCGTTGTGGCCGTCGAAGCTTCCCGCTAGCGTGGTGGTGTGTGGTGGTAATTAACGTTATATGTCAGGCTAGTTAGTTGTCGCAACTTTGTTCCTACAGCCAGAAGGGCCAGTTCAATTCCACACACATCGATATGGCTCAATCCGTAACCTTCCTATTAAGTTACTGCTATGTACGTGATATATATACACACCAAATCGAGGTGTACATCGAATCTACGCGTTCGTCGTCGGCTACACAAGCATCGTGCTGGGGCATGACTGGGCTTGTCTGCGTCAATCAAACAGAAGACGTTATTAAAACGAGTAAGTAGTAACTGACATGCTCCAAACAACCGTACTCACGCGACCAACACGCGACGTGAAGAAGCCTCATTTGAAGATGGCGCAAATTCAAACTCTGGTACCGCAGAACAGTGTAATCTATACCAGGGGAGATATAATATATATGGACACCAAAGTCAACAATATGATACGCCCATATAGGCGCCTGACGAATCTTTTCTGCGTCAGTCAAAGCCTGAGAAAGTATTGACAAATCGAGCAGTAACTCTGCAGTTCGATCATATTTTCCCTTCACTACATGGACAAAGAGTTAAAAAGCGCTCGAAGGGTTCATAATCAAGGGCGTCCCTAAACACGGAGAAGCTGCCGGGGTCCGATTTGCCTAGGAAGAACAAGTGCAATCAGCATGGACAGCACGCGATGCGTTCATACATATGAAACAGGCTTTAAAAGCTTGTTAGGTTGTGTCAAGATTCCTCGTCTCACTCCTGCTTTCTGCGTCATTTCCCCAGGAATCCTAACACATCCGAACAGTTTCCATGACCAGTGTAAAGTTCGTGGGATCCCATTTTCGATTCCTCAGGCCTCGATCTTGATATATATTTTTCACGACCGCAGGAAAACAGCGGCTGGCAATGTCATCATCTTTGGCGAGACCGGAGTGGGGAAAAGCTCCATTATTAACATGCTTCCCGGTGGACGTGTTGCTGCGGTCAACGGCGATGCCAAGGGCGTGACTTTTCGACATGAACGCTACGTGAAGGATATCGGGGGCTGCCGCCTTGACATTTTCGATACAGTCGGACTCAATGAGGGGGCCGCGGGAACGGTGTCCGCCCCTCAAGCAATCGAAGGACTTTATCGGCTGATGCGTGGACTAGACGATGGGGTCAGCCTTCTCGTATACGTTGTGCGAGGCCCACGTCTCAAGAATTCCGCCCGAAAGAACTACGAGATGTTCTACGAGATTTTTTGCGAGAAGAAGGTCCCAATTGTCCTCGTTATTACTGGTTTAGAGCATGAGGATGATATGGATGAGTGGTGGAAGAGGAACGAGGCGGCATTTTCTGAAGAGGGGATGAGGTTTTGTGGTGCCGCTTGCATCACTGCGACTAAGGGCAAGCGCAACCTGCTCGCGAAGGAATTCGAGGAGTCAAGGGAAAAGGTTGAGAAGCTGATTTTGGATCATTGTCCTGAGACGCCTTGGCTACCACCCACGGGCGGGGGGGCATCTTGGCATCGCAGGTTTCTATTGAATAATGTCAACAGGCTTGCCAAACCTTTCCACTTCAAGGCTAAAGTTTTCGCAAAATCGATTTATCAAGCATTGAGGTCTTATGGCGAGATGGACGATGAGGAGGCCAGGAATTTGGCTAACAGAATCTACCTCGATTCTCGCGCCTGAAGTTATGAATTGCAGTGGCCCTATCTAACGACGTTTCAATAACCTCCTATCACCAGAGGCTTCAGCAAGACAACAATAGGCTAGATGGGCTAGGAGCTCTATAAATCACTAGAGACTCCTAGATGCTATTACTAAAACCTGTTTCTTAGTAACTGTTACTTTTCCTACTCCAGTCGTACTCCAGAAGTATATGCAATACTAGTATTTATTACCCATGAAACTTCTATGCACTTGACAATGATTTGGTTATAATGCAAATTACATGGATACATAGTAGATAACAACAGGAAATCCAACAGGTCCTCCTGTACACCTGTCACACACAAAATATTATTATCATACTGAAGTTTCTATGCCACCACAACCTTTTCCCAATAATTTCAATATTGCTGTGCCTGCATTCCACCATTGTCTCCCCCTATTGAAGTTGGCGGTAAAATTGAACAAAAATTAAAGTAAAAATTGGTCGAAAATTGGCCGAAAATCCTTACCGTGATATCATAAGTCTTTGGTTCAATTTTTATTTTTTTCCATAGTCAATTATCCACTGCCTGTCTCTTCCCTGATTTGTATGATCGGTCAAGTAACAAGTTGAAACGTTCAACACATCCACCTCAATCTCAACTTCATTGCCACTGCGGGCTTAACCTCTTCCCCAACCTTGTCGCCACTGTTGAAAAGAACTTCACTCTTTTATTCAGATGCAAGACCATTCAATACCATATATAAGGGTGAGCAGGCCCAGGCTAAGGAAAAGTCTATTCAAAATTTGGTAATATCAGAAGCAACCATACAAAGACTCATATATGTTTCAATCTTGTATCAGCTTTTCGACTGGACTGTGATGCGTTTGATGAGACCCGTCCCCAGTCTCTCGATCTCACCAAGAATTGCTTCCTCGTTTAGCGTAACCAAACCTTTCTCCTTCGCTTTATCGCTTTCCTGTATCATGTAATGTAAGTTTCGCGTTCGTAACCACATAAGGAAAACATACCTTTGCAAATGGAATGCTTGAAAACCCGCCGAGAACTCTAAACGGTCTGGGTTGCCTCAAGGTAGGGTCCCAGACGCCTCCGAATCGATCACCGCCGTATGGGTCAAAGAATATTTTGAAAGTGTCCGCATAGATTCGCTATGAAACACTACTCAACGAGAAGAACGTCGGGAGAGGGAAAAGACATACCTGCAGGTCTGAGAACAGGAACCGAGCTGGGTCAAAGCCGGGCAAGACGTCGGCGTTGACTTCCCATTGCTGCTGATTAGCGTATTTCCCTTGTTTACTGAGGAAGCTATGATCGGCAGCGACGTTGTGGTGATACCGTGCCAGCGCCATGGGATCTAACTGGACGATGAAATCATAATCATCTGTAGGGTGAATGAACATTGACTATGAAAAATCGTCAGCCAACGAAGCGGGATACCTTCAAAAGAGTTCGCACCTGGACATTCAATTGACCCTGTTCCAACCCTTGCAAGTAGTCCCAGGTTGCCTTCGCCAAAGCTCGGACTCGGAAAGCAACCACCATGTCGGGCCCATGGGACGTCCACATCCGCCCATCGCTGTCAACCTCCGTTGATATCGACCACACACCCTCAGTTGGGCCTTTAGCTGTGGGCTTGGATGATTCCGGCGACTTGGGCCCGTACAAATGAACGAACAAGCCATCTTCCCATTTCCACTCAGCTAGGAACTGGACAACAGTTGCAAAGCCACGTTCTTTACTACTCGGGACCAGATGCGACGCAGCTTGCTCAGCGTCAGCATCGATCGCGAGCTTGCGTCCGTCCCCGACGAAGAAGTGTGCACAGATGATCTCAACAGCTTCCTCGGTGATGTGGCCTTGTAGCAGCCAGTGCGATGCGAGCCATCTCTTGACAAGACGAACGGTACCGGAGAACGCTGTAAACCTATGGCAAAGAGCTGCAATGGCTCGATGATGGTGGGGAGCGTGAATGAAGCGTCTGATGTACAGCTCCTTGGCCAGAAGACCCTCAGAATAGTCTTTCCCCTTCTTCACCTCTTTCGTCGTCGCGATATGCGGCATGACTTTTTGCTTGTCATCGATGATGCGATCGAGAAGCGTTGCTTCCCGGTCGTGCCATATCCGCGCAGAAAAGGCCCAGCCTTCCGAAGTAACGATCTCCAGGTACGCTTTATCGATAATATCGGACTCCTGCATGCCAGCACCAATCACTACGTTCGCCTTCAGGCCAGACACGGATTCCATCAGGACCGACGCGAGCCGCTCGAAGAACGCAAGCTTGATCTTTTGAATTGCTCGGAGGTCGTCAGGCCACTTGGATGACTTCTCGAATTCGAGAACGATATCGATGGGAGTGAGATAGCGAGTATAGGGTGGCATTGACGTTGCCAAGGATGCTGGTAGGGGGACAGGACTGAAAACGCTGGTATACCGCAAAAGTTCTGACGTGGGGCTGACAGTGGAGAGGGTTAATGGGAGCTCGTCATCCAAGGCCTTGATCGCCTTCACCAAGTTGTCAAACGCCGTCATAGCGCCTTTGAAACCGGTTGAAACACCCGAAGCAAGGTACTTGCTTGAAATGGATTCGGGGAGTCGGAGAACTGAGTCAAAAGAGGACTGCCAGCTTTGAACCGCGTCTTCCTCGAGGCCAAAATGGCGCTTAAGAATGTGTTGAACAATCATTGCTGGGACGTGAGCGCGTTCGTCGGCTGTTTTGACCTCCCAAACAACACTTTCAATTATCCTCCCGTCCTTGAATCGACGAAGCTCGGACTTGCCTCCCCAGAGCTCCCGGAAGTCGTTGAGGGCAACCTGGTCTTCGTCGTCAGCTGCAGGACCGTGATCAACGAGGCGGAATGCGTTTTGAGGATCAAGGACAAGACCGATGACGATAACATCGGGTACCAAGGGGTGGGCTTGAGATACTGATCGCGCTGCAGGGGAAGGGTGAAGGATTGCGGCAGCTTGGACGCGATCTCCGAGACCTCGACTGACCAAAGAGCCAAGTGATGACATCAGAGCCGTAGAAGTCGATCCCGAGTCGAGCGTAGTTTGGATAGACGAAGAGCGAGGCTTAGCAGACGAAAGATCGACGCTGTATGTGTGTCCTCGTTCAGCCTAGTCATACATGAATATATGCAAATAGATTAACATACCGAAGAACAACATCAAATCTGGTTGACAAATCGCGATTGTCCTTGAGGAAAACTTCTGTGAAAGGATCTCCCGTTATCGTCGTCTCATTCAAGATCTCCAGAGTTTTGGATGCTTCGTATTGAAGCTGGGTCATCGTCAGCTATATATAACCTCAGGACTCGAGTCCGCTCACCAGTTTGACGGAGCCCAGCGGTACTCCAGAAAGCAAGTTAACGAATGAGCCCGAGTCGACCAGCACAGCTTCATGGCCTTCGTACTCCTCTGGTGGGAACTGAGCATCTGGTTAGATTAGGGTTGGGTCACAGTATTGTGAACGTACCCGATGCCCATCTTTGGCCTTTACGAAGAGAGGTGATTTGCCGAAGGGATGTTTGGCTGTGGTGAATTGTGAGAGGGCGCCCGCCAATAGCTTCAAGCAACATACCTAGGCAGTCCAACGCAGCCTTGAACAACTGGTAGGAACTTAAACCCTTCCCCAACGGTCTTCTCTTCGTGTATTTTGAGTCTGAAGCGCGCGGTTCTTCCCCTTTCATAAGCAACGCTAAGAGGCCCACCCAGAAAGGGCCAGAACCCTCGAACCCTCGAACACAGAACCTTGAACCCTCGCTGAAACCGCGTTGGTTGGCCCATATTCGAAGCAACGTTAACGCGTCTGCGAAAGCCGGGCTTTCCTCCTTCAACGAGTAAGTGGTCAGCAGATGCGATTTTGGTGTAAATGAGCGGAGAAGGGCGTTGTTGTACAGGGGTGTTGGTGGCTTGGCATCTTCGTTTGCGCTTATGCGGATATTTGAGTGCGAGGGGGATAGCCGGTGGAGGGGAATTGGAGATGAGGGCGATAGAACGGGGATGATGTTTACTTGAGCATTGAGCTTTGTGAAATCAGTATGGGGACCGTCTGCAAGTCCTGTGAGCAAAGCGCCTCGCGATCAAGAGCTAGTGACATACCGGATTTTGGAATGAGGACCAACTTCGTCAGACGTACATCCTCAAGCAAAGATTCATAGTAAACCTCCACATTGAAGCCTGACTTGGGGTTCTGGATCGCTGCGGCAATTGTTGCGAGATAGAATGATCGCTTGTGGAAGAATCGCCCATTAAGATAGTCCTTTTCTTGGAAAAGACTCTAGAAAAAAAAGTCGTGAGTTTTGATCGCAACTGAGAGAACATGCTCACGTTCGGCATCTCCACCGCAAGGTCGACACCAAACTTCAATCCATCCTTTAGTTTAACGCTGACTTTATTCGCCCAACTCCCAGCTAGTGTGATATCGCTTGGGCTGTCGAACGCGACCTTCCAGTTTGTGTCCTCTGTGGGCAGAGGTAGCGAGTAAGGCACTGCAACACCTTTCTTTAAAAGCTTTCGTGCTGCTTCAAGGGGATGCTGGGGCGAGACCGAGGGTATTCCCATTAAGAATGTGTGAAGAGAGAGAAGGATGCGATCCAGCGGGGGTATTCTGGACGCTTTGGGGCGAATATTGGGCAATAATGCGTCGATCTGAGTCGAGTCAGACGACCGACAGTAAGCAGGGATATCGAAGAAGGACTTACCTGCAGTTTGAAAGAGCCGGACCTAAACAAATCCGCTGCGTCTTTTATCGCTCGTAACTCCTCGCCAGTTGGTGGTTTCTTTGGTTTGGTACCTGGGCGATGCTCCTCCCCAACGTCCGCCTGGCCTCCCGTAACCCCTCCCCACTCTGCCTCGGCATCGTCTTCTATCATGTCCCCGTAATCTGAAAGCCCATCTTCTGCGCCCGAGTTCCCGCCATGTTCTTCGACGTCTAAGGCAGTTTCATCGTCGGGCTCCTCCTCGACTTTCCGCGTCTTGTAAGTCACATTTCAGTTCAACTGCGGCAAAAATATGCAATAAAGATGCACCTTTCGAGACGCCAATTGGTTTTCCCTCTTTCTCTTGAGATTCTGCGTCATTCCCTGTACGGTAGGAGGTAGTGGGGCACTCTTATCGAGTGTTGAAGTCAAGCAAAAAATGGCACAGCCACCGATCAAGTCTGATGTATTCTAAGGGGTCAAGCGTACCTCCGCTGGTCCTCGATACAAGTAGATAACGGAGTAAGACATTACGCGTAATATATGGTACAGAATAAGATACCCAGCACAAGAGGAGAAAATCCCATGAGGGGACAAGATTTACATGGTCGTCTAGTAAAAAATCTAATGTTCAGGTTTGCTCTCTTCCAATAAAGTCTTGACATAATCCCCCCTCGGCGTGATCGAAAAATCAAAAGGAAGTGGGTGACTACAATCCGCATTTTTTATTTCCATTTCCTGGGCCAAACGACCATAGAGCACGTACCAAATCAAACCTGAGGAAAAGGCTGGAGTGGTCTTGATCGGGCTGCCCGTTCTCTCAACTCCGGGACCAATGTGAAAGACGCTAAGCATGCACGCAACGGAGAGCCAGACTTGGGCTTCGGCCATATAGCGTCCAGGACAAATCCGGCGTCCGTATCCAAATGCCGAGGAGAGGGGGTCCATGGGAGAGAATTGTTGTCCGTCGATGCCTGTGTCCATGAAACGATCAGGATTGAAGCGCATTGGTTCAGGAAATGTTTTTGGGTCATGAAGAATTGCCCTGAGTCACCGGTCAAATTATTTGTACAAGACTTGGTATAGGATGTGCCTACCATGTATTTCCGACTACCAATGTGCCCGAAGGAATAAAATATCCATTGTACTCGTCATCTTGGGTGACCATGTGAGGAAGGCCTGAAAATCCCCAGATGAGATTCAACAGTACATATAAACGGAGACGAACCGAGCGGAGCAACCGGACTCCACCTGGAGAAGGCATAAGCCGGACACAAAGGATGATAGAGAAAAAATACATGCCTTAAAACTTCCTTGACAATGGCAGTGATATAGGGCAAAAAAGGTCGGTCGTTGAAGTCTGGAAGTCGTTGCTGACCAACAACGCTATCGATTTCGCGTTGTCCTTTAACCTGCACTTCAGGGTGGGTGACAATAGCCAGAATAAAAGAGGAAAGCATGGAGACGGTCTAGACGGAAGACATTGGTCAGCCAAGGGCTTCAAGAACGCAGGAGTTTTAGGCCGCACGCTTTCCGCTCCAGCTGAGAAGGTGACTTCAACGAAAACGGTCAAATAACGACAACACCGACGTTACCTGCGTATGCGAGCCCCGCACACCCTTTGAGAATCTCAAGCCGGCTCTCTGAGTTTTGTTGAGTCTCCAACTCAGAGATCATTTTCGTCACAAACGACGGAGTGGCCTTGCCTGTTTTCTAGTGGTATTATCAGGCGCGGGAATTACATGAGCTGATTACGAGGTGGAGATATACCAAAGCAGTCTGGACAGCAGCGTATGGCGCATCCTTCATTTCCATCACAGCTTCCCGCCACTCACGGGCCTTTCGTTGGAAACCCGCCCCCGGAACCCATTCGCTGCAGGGCAGAAATATGTAAGTTGTCCGGATATATTTGATAATGCACGCCACGCACGGAATGTACCTCACTGATCGAAAAAAAGCTTTAGTAACACCCTCCAGCTAGAAGAATGAATCGCACGAATGGGAATGATGTCAACAAGGAATTCGCCCGGGTTCGCCGCCTTTGACATTCCTTCAAGGGCCTTTTCCGCGATCGTTATGTAACGGTCGTTTTCCGGAGCGACGGTTATACCATAGACGACGCCCATAATAAAAGCAGCAGAATTACTATGTATTGGTTAGAGATACCTTCTCGTAAGGACGCATAGCAGGTTCACTCACTGACGTAGATGATTTATAAGGTTTTGTGGTGAATTGAGGAGTCGCCGAAGAAGTGCGTGGACTTCACGTCTTTGGACCGGCCAGTGAGTGTGAGCAACGGATTGTTGGAAATGTTGGTGGAACATTTTGCGGTGAGTTCTCCAGCGGTCCCCTGAAGAGAAAAATCCGGCGGATGAGATTGCGATTCCAAGAGTGCCCAGTGTTGATCTACGAACCGTAACGCATATGACCAAAGCTCCAATCCCAACCCATCCTGATCATCGTCAGCAAACATTTGATAGAGCACGTTGGACTCACAGATTAACCATTTGAGACTCAGCGCGGTCGGAGTAGTTTGAAGAGCGTTTCTCGAAGAGGTCGTTCGCCGTTTTGAAGGAGTTCACGAAGAGTACATTCTTTCCAAGTACGGTGAGGAAAACAAGATCACCTAGACACGTAGATACTTCATTGGTGCAAGGGAGGTTTATGGGGGGCGGTACCGTATTTATGTGCAAGGCGGAGGTATGCTTGGCTCTCGTTCTCGCGGACGAAGTCAAACAGGTTTCCTAGCACCGGAAGAGGTTTTGGACCAGGAGGGTACGGAAGACCACGGGGATTGGCCTTTCTCTGTGCCTTCCGCCTCCGTACGATGGAGAAAAGGAAGAGGAAGAGAGAGAAAGCGAGC